TATATATATATATATATAAAGGATAAAGTAAAAAAAAAATGTGCTCCAAAACATCGATTTGTTTCTTTCAAATTGAAATAACAAATTGTAATAAAATAAGTTTAAAGATAAACTCGTTGTAAATGGAAATATACAATATGTGTAAAAATGTGTACATAGAATACAATTAAATATTAAAATCCTAATAATTGTTATTTATAATTTCTTATTGGTTTAATCATAGACATCATTCATCTTTGTTCTACATACGTATATATCTAGATACGTCCCTGTTTGATAGTTCGAAGGAAGGCGCTGTTGTTAAAGATGTCGCTGCAATCATTTAGTGCGTTACTAGCGCTGGCGACGCTTAGCAAAAGCAAGTCGGGAGGATCGACCAATCGGTGAGCAGGAACGGACCTTCTATTCGCCGTGCCCGTGGATAATCGTCTACTGTCGACAAAGAACAGCTGGCGACTCGATGCGTCAGAATTGGACGCTAGCACCTAACAACGTTGGTGTAGTGTAGTAGTGGTGGGTTGAGCTAGTAGTCCTCTTCTCCCTCTTCCTACTTCTTCGACTTTCCACCCCCTCCATTGGCCACAGCTAGTTCTTTCCCTCTCTCTCTCTCTCTCTCTCCTACTATTTCTCTCTTTTTCTTATTGGCACTAGCAGAGGTATTGTAAAGCCGAGAAGCAAGCAGTCCTCCAGTCTCTGACAGTTCGGTCGAGCGTTCAGTGTGCGCGTAATCGCGAAACATTTTGCTTTGGTTAGTGCGCTTGCTTGTGCTGGCTACAAAAAGGAGTTACGAAAAATAAAATAATACGTTAATTACAATAATCAAGAGGTAAAGAAAAACAAATCAATGGAAAAATAAATTGTTGTTAAATTATTTCTTTTCCCGGTGAAATAAAATAATCATATTGTGAATAGTGGCACAACAGAAAACAAAAAAAGAGAGAAAGAGAAAGAAAGAAATGGGTAACCAGAGTATGTTATACGGGTCGAATGTTAGAAAAGGAGAATAGTTGGATTAAAGAAGCAAGCAAGCAAGCGAGTGAGTGAGTGAGTAAGTGAGTGAGTGGGTGAGAGAGAGAGAGAGAGTGAGAGTGAGAGTGAGAGAGATTGAAAGCAAGAAAGAAAAAAAGGAATAGAAAGATAGAGAAAAAAAAAGAGAGATAGAGAATCGTCCTCGGTGAATCGTAAAAAAGGGCGCGAGCGGTGCCCCTTTGTTCCGTGATTGGCATCGCGCGCGCATAGGTTTCCCGTGCGATGGCGCAGCTCCGATTTGTTATGTTGTACGTTGCATGATACACTGGTCCGTCATCGTTGTCATCTTTCTCGTTTTCGTCGCTGTCGTTACTTATCGTTGTTGTCGTTGTCTTGCTTTTTGGTGACGTTATTATCCGATACCGAAATCATTTTCATGTCCTAAAAGGAAAGAGAGAAAAAACGAAATCAAAATAAAACACCAATCTTAAAGTGAGAAATTTACATTATACATACATATATATATGTTATGTGATATATTTGTTTTTATGTGATGATATAAGTATGATGTATGTGTTGTGTGTGTGCGTAACGAGGAGTAATAACAAAAAAAAAGAAAAATTAAACGTGCAAAGGATAGAGAAAAAGAGTGAGTGAGTGAGTGAGTGAGTGAGTGAGTGAGTGAGAAGGGGAAAGAGTAAGTTAGAAAGAGAAACAGATAGAAGAGAAAGAGAAAGAGAAAGATAGAGATATTGAGAGAGAGAGAGAGAAAGGAAGTGTGTATCAGAACGCGCGGAGTGCGCGAGTGCTTTGTTTTGACGAGCAGCTGATCCGTACTGTGTCGTGCTATGAATGTTTGTTTTTCTCTTTCTTTCTCTTTAAAAATGATCTTTTTATTCTTTTTCGTACGATGTCACACTAACGTCAGTGCATTTTAAAAGAAGGATAAAGCAGCTGTTAGAACAGCTTGGTAAAGCGAATTGTCGTCTTTTCTCTCCTGCAGCTGTTGTTGCTACTGCTGCTGCTGTTGCTGGTTGGTGGTAGTTGGTGGTGGTTCGTGGTGGTTCGTGGTGTTGATTGGTGGTGGTGGTGGTGGTGGTAGTAATGATGATGCTGTTACTGACTGTTACTACTACTGCATTTTATTTGCTGAGCGTCGCGACGGTGAATTCTTAAATGTGAGGTCTAATGTATACCTCAAGTTTTTTTGTTTTAACGCGATTTGACAACCTTGGAATAAACGTTTACACGAATTTCCCTGTTAGACGTTAGTGATAAGAAAAGACAATCGATCGATCGGTTGGTTGGTTAGTTGCTTGCTTGCTTCTTCTCTCTTTGCTTTGTTATTATCGTCATAGTTGGTGGTGTGTTGTTGTTAGGTGTGTTTTTGTAATCTGGTTTTTGTCTTTCTCGACGAGAAAAACTCGTTTTCGCGGGTATACACATATTTACTTATTTACTAATATACTTTCTTATTTATTTACTTTACATATATATATATATATATAAAGAAATCAAAGAGAAAGGGAGGATCGAATTTTTGAGGTTATGTCTTTGAAAAGAGAAAGAAAATAAATTATAGTCTTACAATTAGTTGTCGATCGAAGAGAAAAGAAATTAAATGAAGCAGTAATGCGTGTACGTGTTCCTGTACACGCGTGAGTGAGTGTGTGTTACGTACGTGTTCATATGTACGTGAAGAAAAAGAAGATGATAAATAAATTGTGTGCTTGTTCGGTCTTGTTTTATTTTTTTTTCTCTTTTTCTTTTTTTCTTTGTACTCTATTCGCACGTCCTCGTTCACTTGGTCGAAATGGAGTAGTTAGTTACGATCAATCGAAGAAACACAAAGGAACCCTCGCGAAGATTCGGGGCGTGAAACGAGTACCCCTGGTTACGTGTTTATGTGTGGTGTGTGTGTGATATATACGTGTGGTGTGTACGTGCGCGCGTCCTTCTCTCTTATTTTTTGTTTTTTTATTTATTTATTTTCTTGTTAAATTTATTATGTATTTACTAATACTCTGTCTCTTTCTCTATTTTATTTATTTTCTCTTTCTCTGTTATTTTCTTCTCTTTCACTCTTACTATCTTTACTCTCTTCATTTTCTTTTTCTCTTTCTCATTCTCTTACTATTTTCATTTCTCTTTTCATTTATTCTCTCTTCTCTCTCTCTTTTTTATTATTTATTTATTCTCCTTTTAAATTTACTATTTATTTACTATCACACTGTTTCTTTCACTCTTACTATCTTTACTCTCTTCGTTCTCTCTCTCTTTCTTTTTCCTTTTCTCTCTCTCACTCATTTTCTTTTTCGTTTTCTCTATCCCTCGTACTCGTTTCACAGTTTCTTTTTCTCTTTATCTTCTTTCTCCCTCAGTTTTCTTGGTTACTCTCTCTCTCTCTCTCTCTTTTTCTTTCTTTCTCTTTCTCTCTCGCACTTGTTCCCAAGCAGAAAAACACGTCGTGAGAGGCCGTGGACCTTTCTGTCGGCCACCAGATGAGATGATCTTGCGTGATACAACTCTGTTCCTTTTCCTTTCCGTTCGTCGCTCTTTCGAGTTGTCTTAGTCTTCTTACATTAGTCGTCGTCGTTGTCGTTGTCGTCATCTTTCTTTCGGCTTCCATTAAAACGACGTTCGTTTTCGAGTAAAAAAATAGGTGGAAAAGAGAAGGAGGAGTAGGAGAAGGGAACCGGTTGGTTGTTTAAGAGAGAAACAAGAATTATATCTGATGTGTATCCTTTGCCTTTGTTCACCAAGATCTTACCGAGTTCGCAACCTTTCTCCTTTTTCTTCTCCTTTTCTATTCGCATTATTTGAATGTATATATACACACTCATCACACATATACACACACATACACATGCATACATACATATATATTTATATTATACTTATATTTGTATTCTTACTCCTACAACATTTTTTTCCACATACCTTCACAATTTACAATTAAATGTATATATTCGATTGAAGGAGCAGAGGAAGAACCCCAGACTGTTGCCGACGTCTTCTTCTAAAACATAATTTAAATATACAAGGATAATACCTCGAGAAAGAATAAGAAGATAATATATCATCGCACATCACCTATTACTGCTGCTGCTATTACTACTACTAGATAAAAAGGAAATACAAAAAGAAAGAGAAACGAAGAGACACAATAATAATAATAATAATAATAATAATAATAATAATAATAATAATAATAATAAAAATAAAAATAGATATAGAATAAAAAGAAAAAATAAACATACACACAAACGCAAATCTAGAAACAAATCAAAAGAATAATAAAAATAGATTAATATAATAAGAAAACACGAAAAAAAAAAAATTACGAAAAGAAATTAAAAAGAGATCTTTTCGTTTATAAATAAACAAAGAGCCTGTTGTAGAAGGCAACTGTAATCTCTGAATGATCTACGACGCGATCAAAAGTCGTAACCGAGGTAGAACCGATAGAATAAAAAGTTATAACAATAGTAATAATAATATAAGTCAAGATAATCGTCCTTGTAATCCTCGTCTTGGGACGAGATCATCCACCTCGTTGTGTTTAAATTCTTCGTCAAGGCTTTCCTTCTCCTATTTTTTATCATCATCTTCATCGTCATCGTCACTGTTGTCGAAATCATCGTCCTTGAGGAACAACGGGATCGTTTCAACGATCGATGCGGCATAGACAAACCGGGGCCGTACTCGCGAGCTTCGAGAAACCTGGGGTACGGCCCCGATCGAGCTGACTATTGGGGGAATTTGTCCCTCGAGGAGGAGGGGAAGGAAGAAAAAAGGTCAAAGGAGAAAAGCAACACAACTGTCACGTAGTTTATGGGAGAGGACCAAAAGGGAAAAAGGTACCTGCTGCTGCTGTTGCTTTTGTTGCTGTTGCTGCTTTTCCTCTAGGAGAACCTTTCGGAAATCATTGTTAAAGGAAAAGCACGCATGCTTCGAACTAATCGAAATCGGTGAGGATACCTGAAAATAGGAAAAAAGAACGAGAGGAAGAAGAAGACTTTTAGTATTCATTTTGATCTCTACCTGGACGGCATAAAGATGCTCTACGTGTTTCATGTGGATACCGGCACCACCATCACTTTTAATATCAACCAAACCATGGAAACGTAAGTTTATTTTTTATTATTATTAATTTTTTATTATGCTTATTACACATTTTTTCTATTTCAAATGATGCTTTTTTTGTGCACATAATATTCCGTTATGTTTTAAAAATCATATTTAACTTTTCGAGTGCTAAATACTTTTACCTAAAGTGTTTTGTAGAAACGGAATAATTTATTATTAATCAGATTATAATAATAAATTATATTTAATAATTAAAGTTTTTATTTTCTGAAAATATAATTTAATTAATTAATATAAAAATTACATTTTTTTACATTAATATTAACAAACACGCATATACGTTCATAGCACTCAAAGGGTTAATCCATCCCGGAATTTAACTTTTTTTTTCAGAAAATCATGCGTTTTTCTACTATAATAATATTTTTTTTCGAAACGATAAAAAATTGATGTGATTTTATCTATGAAGGTTCTTTCGTTAACGCTCCGAGTAATTTTTTTTTTTTAAACATTTTCATATAATAATTATGAAAAATCAGAAAAAGTGATTAAATGTTTATTTTATTTTATTATTCGTTGAGTTAAAAAAATATTTCTTATAAGTGAAAGATTGAATTTTCGAAAAAATTTATTCCGTGAGTTTTATGTGTGCTTTGTGTGACCAATAAAATTACGCATTTCCTGAGTTTTGTAGAAACTTATATTGTCCTAAACTAACTAGACTTCCTCCGGGATTATGTTAACTCAATTTTTACAGTAATCTCCGAAAAAAATTGTCACGAAATATTCGGAGTAACCCAGCGCTCACTTAAATCCTTGAATATTACTGCAATTAGGGAAACATTTCGTTCCCTAATTGTTGCTAAGGGGAAACATGATTTGCATATATGTAGATAAATGTGATCTGCAAAAGTGTTCAAGTAAAGTTTGGAAAAGTGGTTGTGACGTAAAAAAAGAATTAATTTGAAGTGCAAATACTATATTTCTATTTTTTTATATAACAGTGGGGTCCATTTCTGATGAATAAAATAACCTTATCAATTAAATATTTTTAATAGATATTATTAATTCCAAGACAATTATTATAAAGGAAATAAATGATAAGAATATTTAACGCATTCCTATTCCTATTCGAATATTTCTTTTTTCTTTTTTCACCAAATTAGATATTTTTTATCTTTTACGTAATTGCATATAAAGAATTCATAAAAAATAGGTAAATATACTTTGTTTTGACGTTTATAAGTAACGCTTAATAAGTTTTTAAGATAATTTTTATGTTGTTTTCGAAAATTGTTGTTATGAAAAAAAAAAAAATGACATAAACGCGTAAATGTTGAAATAAGTGTGAACAATATTTGATAAATATTAAATTATACAAATATCAATTATTGATATTAATTTGCGTTTAATAATGATAATATTTTATTTTCTTTCGAAATTTTATCAGCTGTTTATTCTTATCAAAACTTTCATGTCTCAAGGTTATTATAAGTGAATCACGATAGATTTTCTTTTTAAAATGAAGATTCTCACACTCGAAAAAATAAACAAAGAACTTTAGTCTGATTTTTATCTTCGGTTAACTATTTTATTTTGTAAATTTTAATGAATATATGATAAACGAGTAACTATTATCTAACCTGTTTTGTTTTTTTGTATATTTTTATTAGACGCGTTAATTGTTTATATTTATGTGTTATGTTAACCCATTAGCTGCCTATGGATACATTTTCCAATTTTTTTTCTTTTAATAACTGCAACTTCAGAACAATATATAGTCGTTAAAAAAATGAAATCGTATCACGTGCTCCATATTTAAATAAAAACAACAACAATTATGGCAAAAAAGTTGCAGTATATTATTATGAAAATTATTATACAATAAATTTCATTTTTTGTTGGTATTTTTATATTGTAGCGGGTAATTATAAACTGGATGTATTTATTAGATTGTTTGAAAAGTAATTTCGTTGTTGCAATAAATAATTTTATTTTCATATTAAATATTAAATATTTCAGAAACCAAGACATTTGAAAAGATCGTGAATGTTCAAAAATGATCAAATTTGATGAATTGAAATGATTATACTTTTAAAATATAAACAAAGTTCTAAATGATGTCCGAAATATTTGTTATTATTATTATTATTATTATTATTATTATTAGTTGGCATTAGGAACTTGAAAGTTCATTGCCGCAAATACCAAATCCCGCCATTGTTCCCGTACCTGAGCACGATCCTTCCATTCGTGGTCTTCCCATCCTATTCCTTTCAGATCTCTTTTAATAATATCTTCCCATCTACGTCTTCCGAAATATTTGTGGAATATAAAACTATTTTGATATTTAAAAATAAGCTTTGTTAACTCTATAAATTTTTTGACAAAATACAAAATTACTTTTCGAACTAATCCAATAAATTGGGTGTGTATTAATTAAAACTCCAATTACGATTTAAAACTGTAAAAATATTTCGAATGATTTTTATTTGAAAAAAAAAAATACAAAGAAAAAGAAAAGAACAGATTATACAATAGTCATAAAATGTGTTTTCCTTTGTGTCGTTTGCCTTTCGAACGAGAAACGGTTTTAATGACGTGAACGCGGATCGATTAAAGCCGGACACAGTACATATCTATCTATATATATATATATATAACGTTCAATGATGTGATTTAGAGACGGTTAAAGGGCCTCGGTTGGTCAGCCGTCGAGGAAAATCGATTAGGTATATATTTGTGTGTGTGTATATATATAAATGAATGTATTAGTCATAAATGAATAATAGAATCGTTTTTCAATTATTTAAAAACAATAAGGAAAATTGAAAAAAGAAAGAAATCGTTCAAATGTCAATTAAATTTGATAATATCGTATTTATCGAGTTTCGTTTAGATTATTATGATGACATTTGGAACACAAGTGTAGTTATTTGAAACTTAAAAGGAAATACTTTGTATCTTCTTTACGTGCTTTGTGCTTTTGTGTCCCCTATTGGTTCTAAATATAAAAGGAAAGGTAGGGTACTTGGAAAATAAGTCGAACGAGATAAATCGACCAAGTTAGAATCCAAAGTATTTACAATTAGAACCCCTATGAGAACTTTGAAACATATTGTTGTACTGCACATTGAAGTAAAACCTGCAATCAGTTTTAGTTCGATTTTTTGTCAATTTTTGTCAGTCTTGTATCGGTATGCCGTGTGTGTGTGAGTTGGTATATTAGATAAGGGTTCAGAATAATCATTAATTTACAAAAATTTTTTTTAATCATTTTTTTTTTTTTATAAATAAATCCAGCCTGCATTCGTTTAGGGAATCGTACACGTCGTCCTGATCTAGTTTAGAATCATTGAGGTTCCTCTGTCCTTGTGTCCCCTGTTATCGACCTCCCTGTTATCACATCGTATAGTTTGTTCGCACATAATGTTGAGCAGGTTTCAAACGATCAACTGACAATCGTACGTTTTTTTCGTTTACTCGAATAACAAAAGTCTTCGGTGATTGGTTAATCACTCTGAAAGATCAGTCATATGGTGGCTGGCGCGGTCCTCTCATTGCATCGTGATGGAAAAAAACGAACGAGCAAGTTTGCAAATCCTTGTGCACTAATGTCTTTTCCTATCCGTGCCTTGATGCCGAAATTGGTCGAACTGCTCGTAAATGCGTCCTTAAATTCGAGACGAAGTCAGATGTTGTTTGCCCTTTTTGCTATAAAAAGAATTCACCTGGCAAACGAAGTGTAGTATCATACACTAATTCTGCCGGGCTTGATTACAAATCCTCTTTGTAAACCGTTCCTACGCCCAGCAAGACTAATGGCAAAACATCAGTCCACACTTCAGTCTCATAGCAATTAATCGCAGCTTTAAGTTGGCGATGAAATAGTTGAACCATACCGTTGACCGCTGGGTGATACACTGTCGTTCTGATATGAGTTGCTCCTATTAGTCGTGTTAACTCCTTAAACAGGTTTTACTCAAATTGGCGACCTTGATCAGTCGTTATTCGTAACGGTGTTCCGAATTTTGCTATCCATCCGTTGACGAACGAGCGAGCAACGCTTGCAGTTCCATGTCTCGGAACGAAAAAGCTGGCCAACGTGAAAATCGCTCTACGAAGTCATGCAATACCAGTACTCGTGCAAAACGGGCAACGATCCCACGATGTTGATGTGGACATGTTCGAATCTTCCCGAAGTATCCACGAATGTGCCGATGCGTGCTTTCGTGTGTCGTGCAATCTTCGATCCTTGACATGGTACACAAGCCCTTGCCTATGTACTGCAATCTTTACGAATGTCTTACCAGACGTTATCTGTCGCTGACCAATTTATACGTCGCTCAGGCACCTGGGTGCAAAAAACCATGAAGCGAGTTAAAAATCTGTTCGCGGAGAATTCATGGAACGTATGGTTGAACTTTTTCCTTTGAGACGTTGCAATACAGCTCCGCTTTGGTTCCTGGAAGCGTGATCTTCTTCAGTTGCAGGGACTTGTCGGTTCGTAGCAGTTGTTGGTGATCCAATTTCTGTGTATTGTGATTCACTGCCTTCATGACTTCCCCAATGCGAGACAGAGCATCCGAAGCGACATTGTTCAACCCTTCTATATGTCGGATATTAGTCGTGAATTGTTTAATATAATCAAGATGGCGAAATTGTCTTGGAGAGCATTTATCGGGTTTTTGATTAAACGCGAAGATCAATGGCTTATGGTCTATGTAAACAGTGAAAATGCGTCCTTCCACGGCAAAACGGAATCTCTTAACGGAAGCATAAACAGCTAAAAGCTCTCTATCGTACGCACTGTACTTACGCTGGGCCGCAGTGAGAGATTTAGTAAAGAAGGCAAGAGGTTGCCATGTGTCGTTCACTCTTTGTTGAAGCATTGCTTCGATAGCGAAATCTGAAGCATCCACGATTATGGCTAACGGCGCGCCGAGTATCGGGTGCGCGAGCATCGTAGTGTCCTTGATATCCGTGAAAGCTTCTTCTGCTGTTTTAGTCCAGCTAATGGGAGCGTCTCCTTTTTTCT